TGGGATTGATTTTGTCCCACGTTTCGATTTAAAGCTTTCGTGACTGCAGGGATTCATCTTCTTGGTTCTTTCGGTAAAGTCACGTAGAATGGAAATAATAAAATAATAAACATAAAACATAGAAACGTCGTGAGAATTATTTTATAATGTTTTATTTTTATTATTTTATTATTTCCATTCTACGTGACTTTACCGAAAGAACCAAGAATATTTGTCCCACGTGTACGCGGAGCGGTGGCGCAGTGGTTATCGCACTGCTTTACGAACGTAGTGGCCTGGGTTTTATTCCCAACCATAGCCCACGTCAGCAGGGAGTGATCTGAACAAGTCCTTACCGACCCCTCCCGCCCGCCTTCACCAACATGCAATGATCAGCGTCACAAAGAGTGGTCAAACAAACTCCATCATCGACACGGTGTGGTGAGAGGCCATTATCCAACGGTGGATTTAAAAGGGCGTGTGCGTTAAATGTATCTACACCCTTTTGCAGAAATACATAAATCGTTCTTTGTTAACCTGTCTTTGTTTGTTTCCATTTGGCTTTTTATATTTATATTTATTAAAAGAGGTGAGCTTTGATCTTTGCACAAATTGCATCTTAACTAAGCCCCAAAAATGTCCTGCAATTTGCCGCCCTTGACAGTCAACTCTTGCATTCGCACTCTCTCATCGTTCTCCCCATGGGTGCCAGCATCACAAATCAATCGATCGGACACGTGACTGTGGAAGGCACCACGCGTGAGACTGATGAAAAATGTCCACCACCGAGGGACGTAGCTTTTACGCACGATGTATTATACCCAAAACGCCGCCTTTGTCCAACCGGAAAAAAATGCAAAATGTATCGCACGCGCTCCGGTGTGCTTGCGTTGGGAGTTGAGCGGCGATGCGGTGGTCGTATTGGCGTCCAACGGGACCCCCCCCTGCCCCCTTTGCAACTTCGCTGCCCGTGAAATCTTGGGAGCGAGTGGGGCAAATACACTTACAATTTCAAAGCAGATAAGCAGATGGCCGTGTGCAAAGCCCTCTTCCAGGTCACGCTGATCTCAGACGCGGGCCTTGGCCAGTGCTTGCGATGGCACTGAGAAGGCAAAAAGGCAACTGGCAGCCAGATATAACGCTGACCGCTCGGTTACCTCCATCTTACACGGCGAGCCAAAACGTGCGCCCTTGTGCTTGCCCAGACCTTGAGAAACTTGCGTTTTGGTTTCCTGCATAGCTCGAGTTATTTTTTTATTTTCATGTTATTTTCTCAACGGTGCGTGTAAGTTTATGGTTTTATGAGTTTTGTTTTCAGTTGAGATTATAAAGTGCCTTGGAATGACTCGTGTGCACAGGACTTATATAAACTTTTTTTATGTTCTCTCTCTCTTAAGTGAAATATATATATTTTTTACTGTTTCAAAACAGCACCGTGAGGTACAGTCACATTTAGACGCTATATAAATTTATATTGTTATTGGAACTTAAAATCTTCTGTTGGAACAGCTGAGGACACACAACATTGTTAGGTTTAACACGTCGGACTTTACGACCAATATTAGCCATAATGTGTTTTTTGGGTTAGATCGCGTAAATATAAATGTGTCGTTAAACTCGCCACAGCCAATTAGTGAGCTCTGCCACGTAAACAAAACATGATAATTAGTGACTACTTCAGCACACCAGTGTCTTTGAAAGTAAACCCACAACATTCACAAACCTATGTAAGTATTCATATTCTTGTTTCTTTCGGTAAAGTCGAGTAGAATATATATATATTTTAAAATTAAAAAGAATAAATTGACCAAAAAACCCACGACGTTTAGATTTTTATTTTATTTTCTATCTACGTGACTTTACCGAAATAACCAAGACTATGAATTCCTGCAGTCACGAACGTTTTAAGGCAAAAATTTCGTGTAGGTATCTACAAGATAACGGTTATTTATTTCTTGGGTGACGTCTTCTCAGACGTAAGGTGCGTTGCTCCGGCCGGACAGATGCTCTCACTCCAGGGTCTCCAGGGATGGGTCTCGGGGTCCCGTACATCCCCATGGCGACACCTCTGCGTTGGCATCACAATGAAGCCACACAAATTGTTACGAAAATAAAGAGCCCGATGCACACCCGAATCGAGATTATTGTATGTTTATTTTCTTTTAATAGAAACATATTTATGCATAACACGGAACCGCATTCTATAAAATCGAGCCATTTGTGCGCGTGCGAATTCGGGCACATTTACACAAACAAATGAAAATCAGTGCAATTTAATGTAAACGATTTGGTAGTAATCTCAACTTTAATGATTTGGCTCGCGATTTGTACAAAGCGAGGCAGCGCGTTGACATTTACGCGCAACTATCCCCAGACAAAACTTTCACAGCGTTATTCGGAGAGAGAGAAAGAGAGCAAAATAAACACGTGGAACACTCACAGGTCCGGCGCACACATTGTTGACAAGAGCAGGGCTGGTGGGGGGGGGGGGGCTCACTGGGAAGGTGGCAAAACTGCGGCCGTCCATTTGACGTCAATCGATTTCACTTTGTCACACGGCTCTTACAGCGGTAACCATTCGCGTTAACTGAGATAAACAATTTTATTTATCCCTCCCCACGCTCCGCCTCCCCGCTGTCCCCGAGATCCCATGAATCTGCACCATTCAGGGTGGGAATTCGATTCCAGAATGGATGAATTATCGTCTTTTTATTTATTAAATCCTTTATATTAAGTTCACTTGCTTGCTTAGGACCGTGCAAATTTTTCGGTCGTTTTTTAACCCACTTCCCGTGATCAAATCGAGCTGACATTTTCCACAAAGACTCGTTGTGCGTGACAATTAATGTTCGTGAAAATTTTTTTCCAAAATGTTACACTTTTTAGGACTAAAAAATTATATTTAATTACCAATTGCTTAATGGTGCAATGCAATCATCTGACCCATAGGTGGCAGCAATCTCAAGCCAGAGGACGAGAGGACTCTAGCCGCCACGCATATAAAGGATTTATAGTGAAAAACTTTGTTTTTACGGGTTATACTTGTTTTACCGTCTCGGTTTGCAGTAGTTTCTCGTTTCGTCCGTCTCGTCTGCCCACTTTTTAATTCGCTCCCAATAAACTCAAATGTAACACTCGTATTTAATCGGCCCCCCGTGTGCGTCTTATCATCGAGTGCGTATTCAGAAGCCTCCCTGTGACGTTTTAGTGCAATCAATCGCTGCGCGCTACAGGGATTCATTCAAATGGATTCTCACGATCACGGCGCATCCAAATGAAACCGTGTGTCTGACAAGCGGTCGCCTCAACGTAATGCGAAATATTCGCACATTGTATGCAAATGTGCATTTAGGCTAACAGAACCCACGTGAAACAACCAGGCAGAGTATACGTTTAAATCCAATCATGACCCCCCCCCCCCCAAAAAAAAATCTTAATTGTGAGATGGTGGGGTAAATCTTTACATTGCCAACAGTGAGAAGCATTCTTCATATATATTTACATATTGCATTTACCAGAGCTCCAATGTTCAGGAGTTACAGTTACGAGTTCAGTCACTGCAATCGAAGCAAAATAATAGAATGCTATGTTTCATAATAAACGTTTTTGGGTTTACATCGCGTTATTTATAAATGTGTCGTAACCCTCCACCACCCGACACGGCCAATAAGTAACGACACATTTATAAATAACGCGATGTAAACCCAAAAACGTTGACTATGAATAATATTGGTCGCGAAAGCCTACGTGTTCAAATGCTATGTTTGCCTGCTTGAACAGGGCTAGATTTACTTCAACGGTAGTCGGTTAAAATCTCATGAATGTGGTGGATTTTTTGTTTGTTTGGACGTTTTATTCCCTTGACGGTGGAGATACAGCAAATCGCATCCATCGGAGAAATCTTGCCATGTGTTTTAACCAATTGCTCAGCCCTGCTTCTGAAAACCCTCTCGGTCACTTTCCAACCCCCTTCAAATTTGCCAGGACACGGAACCGGCCTGCAGTGCCGTACTACGCCAGGGCTGGGTAACCTCGAGAATGGACCACGGGTGCCAGATGTATCCACAACATGAGGGCCTACCACTTTGTAGCGGCCCACAAGTGATATGTATCCATCACTGGAAGCATCTTAGCCGCACTTATTATCCTTTTGTATGGCTGCTGATGTAGATTCAGAGCAACAACAATAATTTCACATTCAAGGTGGTCAAGCCAGATAACCGCGTCAGGAGCAGTGACGCGTATAATCGCCGTGATGTCTCCTTCGTTTTTGTGGGATCGGGTTGCACTAATCGTGTACCAGAGGGAAATCTTTCTTTGTTCGAGCTGGCAACAACATTTGGTTGGTAATTTCCACGCGCTCAACCGCTGCTGTGAAACTGAAGGGCCTCTTGCAGCGACGTAAACGCCTCTGGGTCACGCTCGAACTTGAGTACATTTCCGAACGTGCGTGCGTTACAAGTTGTCTCATTTTCTTGGTTCTTTCGGTAAAGTCACGTAGAAGGGAAGTAATAAAATAATAAAAATAAAACATAATAAAATAAAATGATTATTATTGTATTACTTCCCTTTTACGTGACTTTACCGAAAGAACCAAGAAGATGAATCCCTGCAGTCACGAAAGCTTTAAATCGAAAGTTGTCTCATTATTATGATTGTTCACATCAGAAACGGGTGTCCCCGCGAAACGAAGCCGATATTCCCATTTGGCCCTCGCTCGGGAGAGGCTTCCTCAGCCCCTGCACGAAGTCATCGCATTGTTACCTTTTTAAAATTTCTCACTTTTACGCTTTCTGTGTATCCACTTGATATATGTAAACACAATCTACGTTTTTGGGTTTAGATCGCGTTATTTATAAATGTGTCGTAACCCTCCACCACCCGACACGGCCAATCAAATTGTAAATGTTGTGGTTTCACGCTTTAATACACCGGTGGGCTAAAGCAGTGAACTAATTGTCCTTTGTCAACGTGACACTTTTTTACTGATTGGCCGTGTCGGGTGGTGGAGGGTTACGACACATTTATAAATAACGCGATCTAAACCCAAAAACGTTGATTATGATTATGTAAACACGTTTAACGTAGCCAAACTGCTTATTACGAATGCAGCATGGCTGCGTAAAAAAAAAACAATAAGCCATTGTGCGTGTTATTTTATTAACGTTACGTAATGGCTACGATTTTTAATACTCGGCAGCCGGAACTTGTGGTCTGGCGCGCAGTAAAAATGGTTTATAGGAAACAAAAAAAGCTTTTTGCATATTCCTGTATCTAACATAACGTTTTCAAAGGACGCCCCAAAAGCATTCCCCATTGACTCAATTGCAGTCAATGTTCCCAGGTTTTATGATTTCCCCACAACTCACATTCACCTTGGCCAATCATCTGAAAAGCATTCTATCGAGGTTTTACTAAACCTTGTGTCAGCAAGTGCGTGTTGTATAGTAAGACGTATTGTGGATATATACACACACACACTCATCGTCGTCAAGGGGCATTGTCAAATCCACTGCTGGACGAAGGCCCTCCACGTTCCACCACCATCCCTCAAGGTCCTGCGATGCCACAGTCCGTCTCTCGCCCCTGCTGCACATGAACTTCATCTCATTGCTCGATGTTGCAGTGGTCTCACCTTGAGGCATATTCACCCCTTTGGATGCCATTGCGTCGCCGGTCTTGTCCATCGGCTGTCATCCCTTCTAGGGGCACGTGCCTTGCCCGACCCCACTTGCTTTTATTAAGAGTCAGTGACGATTGTGTTTGTTTCCTGATCCGTACGCTCCTCTTCCTGTCTCTCAGTGCAATTCCCAGCACACATCTGCTGCACGCTTCTCTGTGCGCCTTTCAGCATTTTGCTATCTTCTTTGTCAGTATCCACCGTCTTTCTGATTACATGCAGCGTGGTGAAGGATGGTTAGAATAACCCCCTTGACTGAGACAGGGTGGCAGAGGCCTTCAAAACTAAACGATTTTTTTTTATCAGCTAAGACCCACTGAGTTACTTAGCTCTTTTTCAGAGGCGACCTGGCCACAAATGATAGCTCAACTTAGTGGCTTATCATGTGGACATTTATTGCAGCCAAAAACTCTAAATGCATGATTCTAAATGTGGTGGGAAAAACTGGAGGACCCGGAGAAAAATCCACGCGACCACGGGAAGAGAGAACATGCAAACTCCAAATATACAGTAGGTGGTAGGATCGGGATCGAACCCACGACCTCCTGTATACCAGGCGAGGCAGTTAACATCTCCTAGCCACCAGGGCACCTCTTCATCCAGCAGTGTGGATTTGACAAGAGCCGTAAATATGCAACGCAAATGGAAACAAAATAGAATCAAACTCTTGGCTCTGTAATGGGTTTCACGTGCTGGAACTTTGGGCCCGTGAGATGCCGTTCAGTACCCTTGCACACAGGGGGTCTGCGAATCTCAATCCTGCATGCAAGGTCCTACCGGCCGTTAGAAAACTTAGGTGAGCAAAAAAAAAGCAGCTTTACAACGTGTTTTTTTTTCTTCGTAATAAACGTTTTTGGGTTAGAGTACGTTATTAAAAAATGTGTCGTAACCCTCCACCACCCGCCACGTCCAATCAGCAAAAAAAGTGTCACGTTGATAAAAGACAAAGTAGTGAACTATTTGTCTTTTGTGTATTTCTCTTCCAAAAAACGTATTCTACTCACAAACATCTTCATTATCAGCCTTGGTCAACACACTGCTGGATGAAGGCCTTGCCAAACCCGCCGCCATCTCTCATGATCCTGGGATGCAACAGTCCACCCAACGCCTGCACACGAGCTGATTTCATCGCTCCATCTCCACCTGTCGAACGACCTCTCGAACGCGTTCCATGTATCTGCCGCCACTTCAATCGTTATTCTTGACCATCCCCAACCATCCCTTGGAGCGACACGTTCTCCCCAAATCTCACTAAACTTTTCCCAACAGTTTGAACACCGAGAGTCGCGAATATTAAAAAAACCACAACCACCTCCAGGAGAGGGCGAAAAAATCCAGACCGGACGGACCGGCCACCCTACCGCCCGACCGTCGGACCGACCTTCCCCTCCGTCTGTCCACCTGTCCGTCACTCCACGGCCCCCTGGGCCCTTCCGCTCCATCAGTACATGTCCTCGTAGATCTCCTGGAGGAGCGGGTGCAGGGCCATGCCGGCGTCGTCTCGGCGGATGGCCTGCACCACGTCGGCGTGCTCCGTCACCAGCTGCCGCAGATCGGCCATCTTCTGGAGGCTGCGCGCGAAGAGGCGTGGAGCGTGCGGGTGTCCCAGGCGCAGCTGCAGCGCGAACGCCTGCAGCACGTGGTCCTGCAGGTCCTCCACGCTGCGGGCGTCCGACAGCCCCGGGCGGTCTACCGGGCGCACGTCGACCGAACGGAACGCGTTTCTTTAGAGCTGCTTTTTGTTGTGTTTTAGTTTGTTGTTGTCCTTCCCCTCCCACCACCCCGCGCGCACCTACGATTAGCACAGTTGGCGATATACGGTGCCAAAGAAGTAAAACGTATGTACGTGCACGTGCGCACGCACGCACGCGCATGCAGAAAGACGAAGATCCCCCTTATAGGCTGAACAGACTGTTGAGGCAAGTGCTGTTAGCTAGCACCTATGAAGGCCGGCACAGCACACGAGGGGGTGGGTGGCCAGCACCACACCCGGCCACCTTTGTCTCCCTAGTAGCGATGTTTACACTCATTTGAGACCGAGTCGACCTAGGGGAGGCCCAGAACCGGTTCAGATAATCGTCACCGGTGTTGGCCGTGAGCGGGAATCGAACTCAGGTCGCGAACTCTCTTTCAGGAGGGTCTTGCCAAATATGCGCGAGTAGGGGGCGATGGTTGCTGTACATTGATCCCAGTTCGTTGCGCGACGTTGCACTTTATTTTGCGCGCGGTTTGCAAATTTACTCTGCTCAGTCGGTGTGAGCCACTGAGGTTGTGACGGGATTCTAATTTTTTTTATTCCTGTTGCTCCGTGCACTGTGTACCGCCTCCCGTTCCGCGCCATTTGGCACGTAAGATAAAGCTCGATCGATTGAATTGAGTAATTTGCGGGCATAATGTCTCATATTTGTAAGTGTGGCGAGCCGACGCGATGGTTTTTCTCTGGCGAATGTCGTCGAGGGGACTTTAAACGACGTCCACTGCGAAGTGGATGGCGCGCCTTCAGTACGGCTAACTTGCCCGTCGTATTCAAAAACAGAAAATGCATTCATACTGGAGGAATCCAATGAGCTAGGAAGCTCTATTTCAGGGATGTCCGGTAGATGTCCGGTGTTAACCAGGTGGAGTCGAACCGCGAACCTCTGCGACAACAAGCGGCGAACGCCGCTGGGCCGTGTCAACAAAACCGGGCGGCGTGAACAAATCGAATGAAGCGACGAACCAAGAATCCACCCGCACACACCGTCCCAACCCCCTCCTCACCACCACACAGGACGATCGCGGCGACGAAGAGCGCGAGGTCGGCGTCGTCCAGGTCGAGCGTGTTGAACCGCATCGCGAACTGGAACTTGGGCTCGATGACGCCGCTGTACGGCTGCCGCAGCGACTTGAGGAACTCGCGCGTCACGAAGCTGTTGCTGTGCGCCACCAGGATGCCGTCCTTGTTCATGTAGGCCGACCACAGCGTGAACATGGCCTCGTGCACGCCGTACTTGAGCAGCGTCACCTGCAGCGGTTCCGGGGGGAGGGGTGCCCGTGGTGAACGGCGGAGGTGCCGCGTGCGTGCGTGTGCCGGTGATTGCCCAATTTGAACTCCCAGCCACGGGGAAAATCCTTTTTAAATGAATGCTAAAGTTCACCGACTTGGGGGGGTCGCGGTGGCGAGATGTTCCCTAATCAGTGGACAGGGTGTGGTGGTTGAGCATCCTTTAATCCAGCACCTGGTTGAATGCGCTCAGGTCAAATGCAAGAGATGCCCATCTACAGCAAGGTGGCTCAACCACCTTGCTGTCAAAGTAAAGTTGTTGCTCTAAGACTCTAAGTCAACATCGGTCCTACGTAGAACAAGAAGAAGACTATCCTACGGTGGCGACATGGTAATTCCCTCGCCTGGTATACAGAAGGTCTTGGGTTCATTTCCTACCCTGACGCATGTGGTATATTTGGAGTTTGCGTGTTCTCTCTCTCCCCGTGGTGGTCATGTGGATTTGTCTCCGGATCCTCCGGTTTTTCCCCTTCACATTTAGAATCAACACGCGTTTAGAGCATTTCGATAAGCCACTTCGTTGAGCTATTATTTGTGGACAGGTCGCTTTCAAAAAAGAGCTATATAGCTCAGTAGGCCTTACCTGGTAAAATGACAATTTTCTTCCATTGGAACCTCATTTGCCAGTAAAAAAATATGATAATTGGTTTTTTACCCTTTTATCTGGCAACAAAACTGATACCTTTTTTCACGAGGAGTCATGTTTGCATAGACCACAATACCTGCAGTCATAATGCAAACAAAAAACACAACTCTGATAATGTAAGGCGCGCCTTTTGGCGTCATCTGGTCCAACACCATGTGAGACTAGGCTCTAAGGAAAGCTGTCTCGGGTGTGGACCAATCAACTTCAAGGACAGTGCATATCATTATCAGAGTTATATTTTTTGTTTGCATTATGACTGCAGGTATTGTGGTCTATGCAAACATGACTCCTCGTAAAAAAGGTGTCAGTTTTGTTGCCAGATAAAAGGGTAAAAAAACAATTATGACAATTTTCTTTTGATCCCTATATGAATTCGGAAATCGGCAGCTGTGACAATGCACCCACGTAAAGGTGAAACCTACAAATTCGTCCTTATAATACATGCTGTGTAAAAGGTAGAGGTGCAGCCCTTCAATTGCTGGCTCACAACACATCTGGTGAAGGGGTATAAAGTAGAATGAGCTCCTAGGAAGCCGGGTATTGTGGCCTACTTAATATTTGTATTGGAAGAACAACCTGTATAATATCACCTGTTCACAGCCTTGAACAAATATTCGCTTAATTATAGGCCAATCAGAATAGATTTTATAACTCAAGCATGTCCATAGGCACGGTTATAGCTATATTTAATAACAATTTCCACAGTACCGTAGCATGGCACGCCATTACGAGCGCGCTAGCTAAGATTAGAATTATGACGACACGGTCATATTTGTGTGGTCTTATTATGGGTAGTATTTAAATGCCGACAGCTGCAATTACAGATTCATTAATCTGATCCGCACGATTGTACGTACGTCTGTTGAACATTTTTCGCACCGTACATAGCCAACCGTGCTAATCGGAGGTGCTAAAGTTGCAGAAAAGTTTTTTCTTTTAATGTAGATGACCACATTAACCCCCCTCTGGTCTTCGCACCCGATTGTCTCACAGTGATGACATCACACTTCTATTTAAGACGGAGACAGGAGGTTTTCTCTACAAATGCTGGCTGTCGCCTGACGAGGCTGGTTGCAATCACCGGCGAAACGTTGTACTCCAATTGTAAATCAGTTTAACACGTAGGCTTTCACGACCAATATTATTCATAATCAACGTTTTTGGGATTAGATCGCGATTGTAAATGTTGCGGGTTTACTCCGTGTGCTGAGGTAGTAACTAACGGCACTTTTTGTTTACGTGACAAACCTCACTAATTGGCTGTGTCACGTGGTGCTGGTTTTAACGACACATTTATATTTACGCGACCTAACAAAACAACCTCTATTATGGACATATTTAGAAGTGTCTTCTTGGTTCTTTCGGTAAAGTCACGTAGAATGGAAATAATAAAATAATTAAAATAAAACAATAAAATAATTCTCACGACATTTCGTGTGGCCGAAACGTCGTGAGAATGATTTTATTATGTTTTATTTTTATTATTTTATTATTTCCATTCTACGTGACTTTACCGAAAGAACCAAGAAGATGAATCCTTGCAGTCACGAAAGCTTCAAATCTAGAAATATATAGAAGTGGTTAGGGTTTAACGTTGCCGCTTGGCTACGGGCGCCACGCATCTTCACCGACCGAGCGTCACGACCTAACCCCACCTGGTCATTGAGGTTGAGCGCCAGGAAGCCCGGGATGCACTTGGCGAACTCGGTGACCTCACGGATGGCCTCGACCGAGCGGTGCTGGTAGCGGTTGAACACGAGCACCTCGGCGGCGCGGCCGTCCCGCGCACGCCCGTGCAGCGTGGACTGCGCGCTCTGCAGCGACTCCATGTCGTGGATCACCACGGGCTGCCGGCGACGGCACACAACCGCAGGTCACACGCAGAGGTCGCAAACGGGTTTTGATTCCTTACCCGTACCCGGCCGCACCAGGGTCGCAAACGGGTACCCGTACCCGGCCGTACCCATACCCTACCCGTACCCAGCCGGCCGGGTACGGGTAGGGTACGGGTATCGGGTACCTGATTGCGACCTCTGGGATGAAGCCATGTTGCAGGCGCGGGTGGGTTGAGTCTAGGAACTTGAATTGTGAGAAGAGACAATACGTTGGGAAATGAGTGACAAACAGTTACTCACCAGTGACTCATGGTCTACCCGTACCCGTACCCGGCCGCACCAGGGTCGCAAACGGGTACCCGGCTACCCGTACCCGACCGGGTACGGGTAGCCGGGTATCGGGTAGGATACGGGTATCGGGTACCCGGTTGCGACCTCTGGTCACACACGGCCGGCTTTGCCGTTCGAGACGTTTCGCGTTTTTTTTCTCAACGAGCGTGCGTTGGAGGGGGGGAGGTGGGTGGGGAAGCATCGCGTGGTCATTACGTGCAACGGTATTGTCAACCCCGTTCCTGTTCCGAGACGGCCGCAAGTTGCAGGGTGGGTGTCTCCGTTCGCCTCTGAATGTCGCGCAAGCGGCTCGGCGTTGATTTGATTTAGAGAGGCATAGTAGCGCCGCTGTTTTTAAAGACGTTGCGCTCACCGCGGAGAACCGTAGCGACACGACTGCCGCACTCTATGACAGCTGCCGGCAAACTGAGCCTTGGTACCGATGAAGTTATTTTATTTTAGTTTTACTTCTGAATTCATTTTGATGACGGACACGTCCGTCATCGGAACGGGAAAGGGTTCATCAAACGGCGTTTTGTCGAAGCATTTTTGTCCAACAATTGTGATTGGCGAGGACCTATTTAGATGACACGTGGCCAACAACGCCACTTTCCCCCTCCCCCTCTTTGTACGGCGCGAGATGAAAAGACACGACAACCTCCATTCCTCCAATTAGCACGCTTGGCTACGTACGGTGCAAGAGCAGTTCAACATACATCCATACATACACTCCAATGGCACAACCGAAACCGGCCAGCATGGGACCCTTCAAGCTACGGTGGTTTTCCACTGGCTATATGCCGTGCCAAACCGGAACTAAATCGTGATGCGTTGGCCTCGCAAGATGCGTGAATTTCGCTCGGGGCCAAGCAGGGCCAGGGGTGGGGCTAATGACGCGTTCATTGTGAGGAGGAAGCAGTGTCACCACCGTGCCGTTTGCGCGCGTCTCGACCGGTTCGTTGAGTGTGACGTCTGCAGTGGGAAAAAAAAATGGCATCTCTTGAGCCGTGCCGGGCCAGCTCAGCACGGCGCCTGCGCAGTTTGCTTTGCGCGGTGGAAAAGGCGTAGAGCGGGACGGACGACGGTGGTGGCGTTGGCGTGACCTTGGCCTCCCCCACCCCCCACCCCGAAACCGGGCGGTAAGACGGTCCCTCACCGAATGCACGGACCTTCCCGTGAGGACGGCCCGGGCCTTCTCCTTGGTGAGCGTGAAGTTGCGCAGGTACGCGGCGTACACGAGGTGCGCGAGTCCCAGCAGCGTCGTGTCGTGTGGGCTCCGCTCCCCGCCGGCCGGCGCCGCGACCAGCTCCGCCTTGAGCCTCTCCTTCTCGGCCGCGGGCATTCGGCCAAAGCGGATTGCTGCGCGGGAAGAGAGACGACGGCGGAGCGATGGCAGGGCACGTGATGCATTTATTATTTGACGACTACAACGTGTAAGGGCTCGCGAGTGACGTCACCACATCTATCCCTCTGAAACAGGAGGAGGATTTCTCCGCAAATGTGGCTGTCGCCGGGTGATGCCGGCTGTAACTACTGGAGACGCGTCGGACTCAGATTGTAGATGTTGTGAATTTGCTCTCCAACACACCGGTGTGCTGTACTAGTAACAAATCGGCAAGTTCTGTTTACGTGACGAACCTTACTAATTGGCTGTGTCGGGTGGTGGCGGGTTTAACTAGACATTTATATTTAAGCAATTTAAACGCCTTGTCACACGTCACGAAAAACCCAACGTTTCATTCTCAGAGTTGGAATAAGCCAAAATAAATTGCAAACTAAATCTGACACGATGGGGTTTCATAATAAAGGTTTCTTGTCGTGGTTAGATCGCGTAAATATAAACGTGTCGTTAAACCAGCACCACCCGGCAGAGCCAATTAGTGAGGTTTGCCACGTAAAGGAAATGTCCAAATTTGTTACTACTTCAGCACACCGCTGTGTTTGAGAGTTAACAAGTGGGCACACTTGTCAACCCCTCATCAGTACCCACCATTACTACAGACCAATTCAGACATTATTGGTCACCCCGTGCCCCTATACATCTCAACGTTCATCCTACAAAGTCCCATCACAAGGGAGAAACACAAACGAATGGACAAAAAAGAGTTTTTGCCCCGTGTTGAAACGGCTGTACGCACGTATGGACCTGACAACTCAATTTCCCTGTACAAGAATACGGGGTAAACCGTACGAGCTTGACAGCTTTGCGTAGGCAACAGCCTACGTGGGTCTGATCGTTACGTTGCCTAACCCATTGGCTGCAAAAAAAACCCTACGGTGTTATGCAATAATCAATGTTTACGTATCTCCGAGGCAACATCCACTACACTCTATAAATAGAGGTCGTATAGCGATTATTGCAACTTAATTATCTCTGCAAGACAACCGTGCACTTTAGTCCACATGGCAGTCGTTCCGTTTTTTTTATGAAGCAAATTATGCCGGCTGCTATTTGCCCGACGAAGCGATGACGATCGTACGCAGATTGGCCCACTAAATGTCGCTTTTTCAGCGCTATCATAAGCAAATGAACCTGAACGACTGTGAAATTACCTAATGTGAGCGATGATGCCAACGTCAGCATTAACTCCCCCCACCCCCCACGTTACAATTTACAGCCGTTATTCAATCGCTCTGTGGGATTGAGGCCAAACCCCACGCTGTGCTCGTCACAGGGGCTGTTGATTTTAGTTTACGGTGGTTGTACTTTCAAAGTCGCCGTGAACAAGGGATCGGTTCAGAGATCACTTGCTACCGATGTTACTCACGGCTGGGAATACAACTCTGGTTTGCCAGGTTCGTAGTGCAGTGGGCAAAAACGACCGTGCAATTTCTGTTCCGCAAAAAAAGGAAAAAGATCCTCCGTATAGCCTTAGGCTGTTGAGGCAAGTGCTGTTAGCAAGCTGCACCTATGAAGGCCGGCACAGCACACAAGGGGGTGGGTGGCCACCACCACGCCCGGCCACCTTTGTCTCCCCAGTGGCAAGGTACTCATTTGAGGCTAAGGGGAGGCCCAGGACCGGTTCAGATAATTGTCACTGGTGTTTGTGTTGACCGTGAGAGGAAATGGAACTCGGGTCGCCGGGTTCGTAGCGCAGCGTGCCAACCCCATGGGACCTCCTTTGCCAGTACCAAAATATGAGAATAGGTTTTCCCTGTTTTTCTGGCCTTTTGGCGTCCTCTGGTCTAACACCGTTGAGACGAGGCTAAAAAAAAAGTTGTCTCTGGTGTGGACCAATCAGTTTCAAAGACGATGCATATATGATCAGAGTGTGTTTTTTGTTTGCATTCTGACCACAAGTATTGTGGTTAATGTAGACATGATTCCTTGTAAAAGGTTTCAGTTTGGTACTTTAACATCTTAAAATCGGTTTTGTTGCCAGAAAAAAGGGGAAAACCTATTCTCAACGTGCTAACCATTACACTACCGCTCCCGGCTGCACCCGATTCAAGAGCTGAATGGCTCACAGGGCTATACCTAATCAATGAAATAAAAAAAACCCACACAGCACTTTCTCACCCACTCCTGCACCTAAGAGACATGTTCACCACGTGACAGAAAAATAAACCCAACATTTTTGTTTTTAAATTCTCAGAGAAGAAATTTAGCCAATCGTTTGAATGTTGATGTTGTCCTTGGCGACCGGGCTGAGACCACTGTAGTCAGCCGTGGCTGGCAGGCAAGTGAAACTCAAGTGGGCAGGGTAGGTTCATCACGCAGTGCGGTAACCACTCCACCACCGCTTGTCGACCCCACCTAAGCGTGTGGGCAGGGTAGGTTCATCACGCAGTGCGGTAACCACTCCACCACCGCTCGTCCACCCCACCCAAGCGTGTGGGCAGGGTAGGTTCATCACGCAGTGCGGTAACCACTCCACCACCGCTTGTCGACCCCACCTAAGCGTGTGGGCAGAGTAGGTTCATCACGCAGTGCGGTAACCACTCCACCACCGCTCGTCCACCCCACCTAAGCGTGTGGGCAGGGTAGGTTCATCACGCAGTGCGGTAACCACTCCACCACCGCTCGTCCACCCCACCCAGAGCCGGCCCAGCCACTAAGCGACCCTTGCAATTGCAAAGGGCCCCGTGGCCAGCAGAGGGCCCCCTAGAGTCACTGCTAGCTAGTGGGTGAAAAAAATCATACATCAAAGGGGCCTCCAACCAAATTTTGCTTAGGGCCCCCAAAGGTCTAGGGCCGGTTCTGGTTGGGGTAGTGATAGGGGTTGGGGTAGTGATAGGGGTAGGGTTATGGGTAGTGATATAGGTTGTGATAGGGGTTGTGGTAGTGATCGAGGTTGGGGTAGTGATAGGGGTTGGGGTCAGAGCCGGCCCAGCCACTAAGCGACCCTTGCAATTGCAAAGGGCCCCGTGGCCAGCAGAGGGCCCCCTAGAGTCACTGCTAGCTAGTGGGTGAAAAAAATCATACATCAAAGGGGCCTCCAACCAAATTTTGCTTAGGGCCCCCAAAGGTCTAGGGCCGGTTCTGACCCCACCTAAGCGTGTGCGACGTGTGATGAGCGTGGCTTCTCGGGGGTTTGTCTCCAGGACCGTGTGGTGCGCTGCGGGGCCCCGTACCGCTGTGCGACATTCCCACGCGCAGGCACTTCTGGAAGCGACAGAACTGGCACTTGTTGCGGTTCTTCTTCTGAATCTTGCAGTTGAGGCCGCAGTTCCCGTACTCGAGCTTCATGCGAACCGTGCGCCTGAAGAACCCCTGCCGATAACGCGAAGACAAAAAAGCAACGAGGGAGAGAAAATTAGAATCACGCACGCGCACGGGAGTTCGTTTGCCAATTACGCGCGACGAGATGATGTCGTTCATGCGTAATGACATCACGAGGGTCCAGATGTCTTGTGACCCCCCCCCAAAATTAATTGACCCCTAGAAATTGCTTTTTTCCTTTGCATATTCGTCTAAAAACAAATAGTTGCACATAGAAGAAGTGCTGACGATGCAGGTAGTGGTTGGAAGGAAACTGGGACTTTTTGACACGTATGTAGGATGCACAACAACAGGACAATGTAAAGTGTGGTGTTTGGAAAAATGGAAGGAGCCGGAAAGACAGGAAGACTGTTAACAGAGAATGCCATGACGACGACATTAGAGATCGGTGCCAGAAAGATGTGGCCATGACTTGAGCATACGGGGCACAAGACACAGGAAAGTGTCAACAAATGACAAGATGTGCAGTGGACACCTATGGCTATCATCTGTCCATCGATCGTTATGATGTTAGAGAATTCAATGGAGGGGGGGGTCACAAGACATATGGACCACTGTACAGTTTCTTGACCTACAGCGCAATAGTCAGAGAGCATGCGGATGAGATGGAACAGTGTGGTAGGCCGAGTTCGCGTCCATGGGAAAATTACCCCATGGCTGTAGCGATAGGACGAAGGCAGCGACGGAAATTAATGACAGAAAAAGGATTGCCCATGGGTACAATGGGAGGGAAAGGAATAACAACTCATCTGGTAGCTGATGGGCATTCCGTTATCCCCATTGTAGCCTATCTGGATTCCGTTATTCCAATTGGAGCCGATGGGCATTCCGTTATCCCCATTGTAGCCGATGGGCATTCCGATAACACCATTGTAGCCTATCTGGATCCCGTTATTCCAATTGTAGCCGATGGGCATTCCGTTATCCCCATTGTAGCCTATCTGGATCCCGTTATTCCAATTGTAGCCGATGGGCATTTCGTTATCCCCATTGTAGCCGATGGGCATTCCGTTAACACCATTGTAGCTGATGGGCATTTCGTTATCCCCATTGTAGCCGATGGGCATTCCGTTATCCCCATTGTAGCCGATGGGCATTCCATTATCCCCATTGTAGCCGATGGGCATTTCGTTATCCCCATTGTAGCCGATGGGCATTCCGTTATCCCCATTGTAGCTGATGGGCATTCCGTTATTCCCATTGTAGCCGGTGGGCATTCCGTTATTTCCATTGTAGCCGATGGGCATTCCGTTTCAAGCTTTGTGTCACTCAATGACCTGGAGGCGACTGACCACGCCGGAAGTGAGCGAGTGGCCGGGTTGAAAAAATAGGACGACTCGGCCTCAAATGGGTACCTGGTGCGGCGTGTAAACATCGCCACTGGGGAGACAACGACGGCTGGGGCGCGGTACTGGCCACCAACCCACTCACCCCGCTCGCGTTGCCGTGCCGGCCCTTCCTTCACAGGGTGCTGCTCAGAGGTCGCAACCGGGTACCCGATACCCGTACCCTACCCGATACCCGGCTACTCGTACCCGGCCGGGTACGGGTACCCGTTTGCGACCCTGGTGCGGCCGGGTACGGGTACGGGTAGGCCGTGAGTCACTGGTGAGTAACTGTTTGTCACTCATTTCCCAACGTATTGTCTCTTCTCACAATTCAAGTTCCTAGAATCAACCCACCTGCGCCTGCAAGATGGCTTCATCCCAGAGGTCGCAATCAGGTACCCGATACCCGTACCCGGCTGGGTACGGGTATAGGGTACGGGTACGGCCGGGTACGGGTACCCGTTTGCGACCTTGGTGCGGCCGGGTACGAAATCAAAACCCGTTTACGACCTCTGGTGCTGCTCGCTAACGGCGCTTGCCCCTCAACAGCTTGTTAATGCTACGCGTGGGTAATCTTTGTTTTTGTGGTGAACGAGCAACCTTGCAGCCTTCGCACGCATGCACCCCGTAGTGGAAGCCCGAGGCACGGTCCCCGCACACACGGCACTCCATGGAGAGCGGCGCCTTCACGGGGACCGAGGACGTCGTCGCCGCCGTCGCCGTCGCGGTGGTGGCAGCGGTGGGGGGCGCAGAGGGTAGCTCCCGCAGGGCCGCGCCGTCGCACGGCGGAACCACGGGCATCGTCGTGACGATCGCCGCAAACGCTTGCCCTGGTGGTACAGAAGTTGAGGCAGTTATGGATGGCACCAATCCAGCCGTGAATGATGGGAGGAGTGGGAGGTCCCAAAATGTCAAGATTTTTAAGACGGCCCTCATCGTCATCACGATCCACGGGCAGATCGCCCGTTGGTGTCCACTGCACGTTCCGTCATTTGTTCCCACGTCCCTCTGTCCTGTTGCCAACATGCTCGAGTAGTGTGCCACAGCTTTCTGGCACCAATATCTTATATCGTCGGCTAGCCATCCACTCTTAGGTCTTCCTCTCTGTCCGGCCCTACGTGAGTGGAATATCATTTTTGGGGTCTCGTCATGGGGAGTTGGGGAAGTTGCGTAACGAGCATGGGGGCAGGGGGGGGGCTTGGTCCCCCCGGTGGCCAAAGCAACGAGTTTGAGCCCCCCTTGACATCCATAGTCAGATTTATTTTCAACAGTTTAGTATTGGAAGTGACACAGTTTTGTTGTACCTTAACGAAACGTAATGTAACGTAACGAAACGTACTTTGCTTTGAATGACCGTAACTTGAGTTCAAGAACATTGGACATAGATCTACGTTTCTGGGACATTTATTGTATTAGATACACGTCAATTATATTGCAAAGAGGTACTACGAAGCTGTCGTGGCTGCATTTTGCGACGACAGACCGTCCCTACAGCGTTAAATGTTCGAGACCGTGAGAGTAACGATGTGATTAGGCAATAAATAAATCGCTTGGGTGCAACCGTGCGAGACAAATCAAATATTGTGGCCCCACTTCACCGATTGCCTCACCCCCTGAGCTGATAATGTCGTCACTACGCCACTGGGTAGGGTCGTGTGCCATCATCACCATCCATGAGCAATCAAAGCTTGCGTTAAGTTGTAACTGAGAACACAATGCTAACAAGACTAGGGGTGGAATGAGTTGTTTCAACACTAATACTTAATTTGCTGAAAACATCTTAAAATAAAAAAAAACTTAACGCAGGATCTGCCTTTAAAGAGAGAGTCCTACGACTTGAGTGTCGTTTTCTTGATTGAATAACCACATGTTAGTTACTTGAGTCGGAGGGGAGTAGAGTGAGATGAGAGGGGAGACGTTAACAGGTCCACAGAGGATCTTGCGGTTGTTCCGGAACTGGATTGGGAGCCAGTGGAGGGATGTTATCATTGTGGGTGATGTGGTCTTTGTTTACAGATGTGAGTGACAATTCTGGAGGTGGACCTATAGATCACTTGTCGCTTGATGATGCCGGTTGTAATTACTGGCGAAACGTCATGGTGCTCGAATGGTAAATGTTGTGGGTTCACTCTCCAACACAGAACCGGCGTGCTGAACTCGTCACGAATTGGCACGTTTTGTTTTACGTGACAAACCTTTACTAAATTGGCCGTGTCGGGTGGTGGCGGGTTTAACGACACATTTATATTTACGCGATCTAACCCCCCAAACAAAAATCACCTATTATGTGGGAGAGAGTTTCATTCGTAAAGGGGGGGTAGGTGAGTTCACACAGGCGATTTTGTACGACTGAGCTGTTCTGCAAAGATGCACCTCCCTACTGCAAACGGGTGCCGTGAATGTCAGAAGAGGAAAGTGACAAAGAGAGAAGGTCATACTTGTGGATGGGGAGCGGGGAGGGAACAAAAAACCATGTTGGAGTTTGGCACAAGAGGCTACCAAACTCTCGCCAAAGACATAAGGGCACTACATTGGCAATGTGCACAAGGACAAGTAATTATAATCATCTAACCCCCCCCCACCACCACACCCCGTTAATCATGAACATTGTCCTTATCATCATCAGCCCTGATCTATCCACTGCTGGATGAAGGCTCCCCCAAGTTGTGATGGAAAGCTTTGCTGCTGAGTTGCCGTTGAAAAAGAGCTTTTCAGCTCAATGGGCTTTACTCGAAGGGAAATAAACTTCTGAGCCTTCTGATTCAAAGTCGTCGCCGGCTCTCACGGACTTGTATGCATGTATGTACAAGGACTCATCTACTTAAGAACTTTCAGAGATACGAACAAACCCGTCCGTATGTCCAGTTGCCTGTTCGGATCGAGAGTTCAAAGTTCAACCGCCTTGCAATAAATGGCGGTGGTGGCATCTACTTCAGCAGAACGTGAAAAACCAGTGGCATCTACATCTACAGAACATGAAGAACCAGTGACATCTACATCTGTAGAACGCGAAGACCAGTGGCATCTAAATCTGCATAACATGAAGAACCAGTGACATCTACATCTGCAGAACATGAAGAACCAGTGACATCTACATCTGTAGAACGTGAAGACCAATGGCATCTACATCTGCAGAACGTGAAGAACCAGTGACATCTACATCTGCAGAACAGGAAGAATCAGTGACATCTACATCTGTAGAACGCGAAGACCAGTGGCATCTACATCTGTAGAACGCAAAGACCAGTGGCATCTACATTTGTAGAACGCGAAGACCAGTGGCATCTACATCTGTAGAACGCAAAGACCAGTGGCATCTACATCTGCAGAACGTGAAGAACCAGTGGCATCTACGTCTACAGAACGTGAAGACCAGTGGCATCTACATCCGCAGAACGTGAAGAACCAGTGGCATCTACATCTGCAGAACGTGAATAACCAGTGTGACGGATCTACCCAGATGGAGATCCACTTCATTGGATGATGCTGCTCCTTGGTTAGCCTCGACCACCGGCCATCACCGTTGATAGTGTGAGCAATGTGTCCTACCCGTGCCTCGTACTTACAACGAACCGAGTCCTACCCACGCCTAGTTTCACGACGCTGGTTAATTTGTCCTGCGGAGAAATTGAATTCGGCCACAGGAACGGACGTTACGGACGGGCCACCCGCTCGCTGCTTCTGCTCCGGCAGCACGGGGCGCGGTAAACACGCCCGCAGACATGGGGACATCTGCCACGGATCGATCTGTTTTTGCCATTTTTTGAGCGGTAAACACGAAGCATCGCAAACACCGCGTCTCTTATCGCGGCTATTGTCGTATCGCTGATAAATCACGAGCACAACTCACTCAATAGAACAAACAGAACATTGGTCCAGTGTTCGCCCCGCGGTTTTGGGAGTATTAGACCAAAAGTCACAAAACTGCTATGTAATATGTCCTTTGTAAGGAACCCTTATTTCAACTTTGAAAATAAATAGCTTGCTGTTCTCTGTACGTACAGTACACATGTTGGACTTATTTTAACCTATCTACGTGACTTTACCGAAAGACCCAAATAATCCTGAAAGGAAATTAGCTTTCAATCCATTTCTCACGTGGCATCGCGTTTGTTCCGCGTGTTGTTCGGAACGATGTCTTCCGACGTTTCTCGCCAACCCTAGCGCAGGAGCACGTGAGTCAATCAGCTTCTCGTCTCTTGGCGCTCCGGCGTATCCAAATTCGCGCCGACATTTTCTGCGAGTATGCGGTTGGCACGGTGTGTCCCCACAGACTCATCACTCGTGTGCCCAAAGTAATCTCTCCAATGTTGACAAACACCGCCTTTAATCCAACCTGACATTGACAGAGAGATATACAGAGTGCTGCTAAAGTTAGTGGTTGGTCAGTGGTACTGTGCCACGGATAGCGGCGACCTGAGTTCGATATTCGGCTACAACCCACATCTGCGCCAAGTGATTTCTGAAGCGGTTCCCTGGGTCTCTCCTCTGCCCTTTCACCGACCAGCACGGACCAGCGTGGCGAAGCATGGTCAAACAACCCCCCATGGCCGACACAACACGAGGAGGCATTCATCCAGCAGTGGATTGAATTAAAAAGGATTACATCTGTTTATATCATCGTACAGTCATGTAAAAAGGCTCACTTATTTATGTTAGTAACCTTTACACTAGGAATGTAATGCAATGTTAAATGTGTTAGTTCACAAGGCACGCTTGTGAATGATGTTGTTGATAGAGTAGTTTCAGTCTGCACTTATAGCCAGCAATAATGCCCACACAGCGCCCGACACATGCCCGTGATTTATCTATCGTGTGTAATTTTAGAGTCATAGCACCATGAAACATTCCACCACAAACACACAACACACGCGACGCCGCAAATAATGGCTCATGTGAATGCGGCTGGCTACGCTGGGGATTATGAAACTATGCTTATATCATCGCCCCGCACGTTATTGTAACAACACTGTTGTACTTGAGCGTGCACACGCTTGGCAAACTCTGGCACCGTTGAAGTCAGTTGCGGCTCCATAAACATTGAGAACATTTATTTTTGAGCAGCCATAAGACGATAGGCATTCTTTTTAAAAATATTTTTTTCAAATATACTTGGTAAAAAATAAAAGGCTCCTTCTAAAATACCATATCACTGTTATTTTCACATTCACTCGAATTAATGAGGTTGAGAAACGATAACATATTGCCCGTTGTCAATCCACTGCTGGATGAAGGCTCTCCCCCCACATCCGTTTAGGCCTCGGAGGTTGTTTGACCCATACTTCACCATGCCGGTCAGTGCGGCTTGGTGAAGAGAGAGGTAGCGGGGTCTGACTTTATTTATCACTCACAAACAGATATTAGCCGTGGCAAAGAATCCAACTCAGGTGGCTGGGTTCATGTTCTACCACTTCTCTACCACCCTGAGGAGTATGTTTTGAGTCTTAAACATCAACAGCATCACTCCAAGTCCATGCCCCATTGTTCCCAGGATCACTTGGGAACGTCTTGTATTTCCCTCCGCACTTTGTATTCTAATAGTGCTATCGGTGTCACGTCAATCGATGCAAGATTCATTCGGAAATCTCTCAAGAGCAGTGATCTCCATGTCTCTGAGAACGTCCCGCAGAATCAACCTTCACGGGACTTTAGACAAATCCTTCAAGTGACCTCTTTTATCCAAAAACAACAAACGCTTAGGGGGCAACCCACTTCCCCGAACGCTTTGGCTATGAGAGTGTCGCCTGCCAGTCAACGGATATTATATTTACAATTCTCATAGCTGGTACCAGGCTTAAGTGCCAATCAACATGTGTAACGTTTAGTAATAGGGTTTTACCCTTTCAACTGGTACAAAAACTGACACCTTTATACAAGGCATCATGTTTGCAATAACCACAACACAAGCAGTCAAAATGCAAACAAAAAGAAACAACTCTGATGATGATAATGATATGCACTGTCCTTGAAGTTGATTGGTCCACACCCGAGACAGCTTTTCTTAGAGCCTAGTCTCACATGGTGTTGGACCAGATGACGCCAAAAGGCGTACAACTCAAAGACAGCGCACTATCAGAGTATTGAGAGCTCGGGGTAAGCATTAGTCATCATCAGAGTTGTTTCTTTTTGTTTGCATTTTGACTGCTTGTGTTGTGGTTATTGCAAACATGATGCCTTGTATAAAGGTGTCAGTTTTTGTACCAGTTGAAAGGGTTAAAACCTATTACTATATTTTGCCACTGGTAAAGGAGGTCTCATAGTGTGTGTAACGTTTGTTTTGTGCGTGCAGTCAGTCGTTGGTGACTCGGTTGAGACTATAAACTAATTCACTGCCACATGAGAACTCAGTTCAGTTACATAGCTGCCTGGATGCCAACCCAGGCAGATCCTGCCTCAGCGCTCTTGCCTCTAAGGCACATGGCAACCTTATACTTCCCAGTATAACTATTTCAGTATTAACAGCGTGGTCCAAAAGTCAGGACACATCGGGTTATTTTATTTCTTTTACCACTGGCATTCAAACTTAATTGAGTTTTATTAAAGAAAAGATTTACTCTTTTATCATTACGAATACTATCATTTGTTCTCCATTTTCAGATTAAATTTACTACTGGAACAAAATGTGACTGAAAATGAAATTCAATGACTTTTGTTTTTATGTATGCTCATGAAGGCAGCTGTAATATTTTAAAAAGTCCTAAATTTAATTCAAAAGATAATTCATGTTATTGGAAGTCAGTTTGGACATTTGTTAATAAAGTAAATGAAATCACCCTATGCGAGTTATTATAATAAATATAAGAACCCTATGTCCAGACTTTTGGCATCACCCTGTACATATTGAAAGTCAGTCGGCAGAAACCTTGCGGATTTTCTTACCTCGTTGACAGAAAACTAACCATGCTAAACTAACATTTAACGAGTTAAACTGCCGTTAGATTACTGAGACAAGTTCACAGATACTTTCCGAATAAAGGGAAGCAGGAAGTCTGTGTTAATCAGGCAGATAAGCAGACACAGTTCATACGACAAACACAACCGCAAAATGTGCGTAAAAGTGATTCCCCATCCAACCCCTTGCCTGATCGCGCTCGCCCGACTCTCTCCCGCCGTCACTTTTCTCTCTCTCTCGCCTTCGTGGAGATGACGTGAAGACTCGGCAGTCGGAGGAAAGTTGTTTTGGGCAGGCGCAGCAACGCACAAAGCAAAACCAAACGCCTCCGCCCAGCGAGTTGTTGAAGCCGCGGATCTCCGCTCGTGCTGTTGACGATTCAAAACGACTGCGACGAGGGAGACGGCAGGCAGGCGGACTGGACTCACGACAGACAACAGCTCTGCGTGAGCATACACCCACCCACGTTTTTTTGTTGTTGGTTTATTACTGCTATTATCCCACGGGGGCTGTGTTGAAGCTGAGCTGTCGGCAATGGGAGGGAGGGAGGAGGGTACCCTGTGGGTGGGTGGTTGGGAATTGGATCCAGAACATCCCCGTCATCATCAACAACATCATCATCGTCGTCGTGGTCGTAGTGGGCGTAGCGGCGATCCGGACTTGACTTATGGCAGCGAGAAAAGCTGGAATTAAAACGACATTAAACAAAGAGGGAACATCTGTTCTGGACTGCGCGAGACTGAAATGTTGTGAGATTCTGTTTCCACTTTGGGACATGGTTATTTGTTAAGGGCAGGGATAGGCGGTGGTGTGATTGTATGTTGAATCCTTTTTCCCAAGTAGCCAACCGTGCTAATCGGAGGTGCGGGGGAAAAAACAACGAAACTAAAATAAAATGTAAAAGATAAAAACATGATTAATTAAGTACTTTACAATTTATTTTATTATTTTTACTTTTTATTTTCTATCTACGTTACTTTACCGAAAGAACCAAGAAATGAATTCCTGCATTCACGAAAGTTTTAAGTCAAAAACAAACTAAAACACAAAAAGCAGTGCTAAAAAAAAACTGAGTTTTCAATCTAGATGACTTAAAAGTGCATAGCTCCAGTGACTTCCTAATATCGGGAGGCAGAGAGCATTCCAGACGGCCGCAGATGCGCATCTGAAAGCGCGCGATGCGGTGAACTCCGTCTTTGTTCGATGTTTAGCAAAAAGCCGTCGCCGCTGCAGCGAGGATGATCGCACTTCGCGGTGATGATGGTTTATGGCCTTTGACGAGATAAGCGAGGTATTTTTGTTGAATTTGTGGCAAGCACTTCGCGTGTGTAATGAGCGCCATCTAATAATTAGAGCCTCTAGCGGTTGCGGTAGGCTTAACTTCAAAATCACATGAGTTTAGAGTCGGAATCGGTGACTGCTCATACAGTCCTGGCGTCGTGTGTTTTGTTAGTGCCGCTGTATCGGGTGATTGACGAACGTTGCGGTGAATCATGCACAGGCCAAGAGGATATTACTGTGGCATCGAGTCAGCACTAAGCCAAATGCGATGGCTTCTGTCCAGTTATATTCAAGACCAAAAAATGCATTAATACGAGTAATTGACACCACGAGGTCCCATTAAAGAGAGAACAAACCCAGAGTTACCCTGCTTATTCAGATAAAAAAAAATGCAATGTTTATTTGGATAACTTGAATTATTTCAACCCATTTCCTCATGGAATCCCAGCGATGTTGTAACTTTTGGAGGCGTATTAGAGGATTGATGCGGGGGGGGGGGTAACAATCAAACATGCCTGCTTTTAAGAGAAAACATTACGTCGTATGTTTACTGTTCTATTTTGTCTTCGAGTTAATATTTTGAAGTGTGCTGCACAGTGATACACCGGCAGGTGTGCTTTTTGGTACTGCATATACTGTACTGCATATACTGCACTGTATATACTGAACTCAACATACTGTGCTGCACATACTGTACTGTTTATACTGAATTGAATATCTTGTACTGCATTATCCCCCCCCCCCCCAGTCCGTGCTGCTACCGTGTAATGCACGGTCAACACACAGAGGGCACCGGTTCGATCCCATCTCCAGGCGTGGCAGTTTAAACAATGGAGCCCTTAAACAATGGATCACGGAGCGCCAGGCATTTAAACAAGGAAAATAAGCGAGAAGTAACCGGGGAGAGAAATACTAAAGAGAACGTCATATAGAGAACTCGGGAGAGATAGAGAGACATTTTTTTTAAACCGGTGATGGGATCTTCAGCTGGGATATAAACGTCTCCCATCAACTGAGTTTTTGACCTCCAAGGTCAAGAACTCAGATTCAGCAACACATTTATAGAAATAAATGTGTTGCTGAATCAACTCCTGAATGTTTGGCGGAGCAGGCCCATGTAAAAGCCTTGAACACAAGTAGGAGAATGTTAAACTCAATGTGAATTTGAACTAGAAGCCAATGTAGAGAGGCTGAACGCAGGTGAGATACGGAGGGTCGTGGGTTCGATCCCAAATCTGACCCTGACCCTGACCCCTGGTATATTTGGAGTGCGCACCGTTCTCCCCGTGGTCGCGTGGATTTCTTTCTCTGTGTTCTCAGGTTTTGCCCTGCACATTTAGCAACAACGCGCGTTGAGATTAATTTATTCTGCTATTATTATAAATTCCCACGTGATGATGTTAGCCCCTGCGATGAGCTATTATGTGTGGCCAGGTCGCCTCTAAATCGTGCATTTAGAACACATTCCTGCGGAGGGAGCTGGTAGGAACGCTGGGTTGCTCGGTCAATGGCCAGGGTCAACGGCGGCGTGGTGTATTCCGCAAATATGCCCGACTGTGAGGGCGGGCACAAGCCTGACGTGAGTAGGTTAAACGTTGAGTTTTATAAGGGCACCACGGGGTGACCAGCCCTCCCCACCCAGCCCCACCCCTCCCACCCCCCACCCAGCCCCTCCCCACCCTCCCCACCCAGCCCCTCCCCACCCTCCCCTCTCCACCCAGCCCCTCCCCACCCTCCCCTCTCTACCCAGCCCCACCCCTCCCATTTTTGTATGCACGACGGACGGACGGACACAATAATGCCCATGTGGGCTGGTGTAACCAGGAGGTTCCTACCAGTATTATTCTACTGCAATAAATTTCCCCACTATAAACCACAATTGTTGAAGCTATCATTTGTGGCCAGGTCGCTTCTGAAAAAGAAGTTCACACCTCAGTGGGACCATGTATATAATAACATGTTGTTACTATATACATGTACCCGAGCAGGAGTGCGAGTGAGAGACACATCCACACCCTCTACCGGAGCCAAGTGCGGTGATGCACGCCTGGTGTGTCAAGCACGCGTGAGATGTATGCGGGGTTGTGTGTGTGTCACTTGCAACAGCCGAGAGGTGACAACCCGCACCGATACACCCGCACAACCAAGACCCTTTCAACTGGTACAACAACTGACACCTTTATACAAGGCATCATGTTTGCAATAACCACAACACAAGCAGTCAAAATGCAAACAAAAAGAAACCACTCTGATGATGATAATGATATGCACTGTCCTTGAAGTTCATTGGTCCACACCCGAGACAGCTTTTCTTAGAGCCTAGTCTCCATTGGTGTTGGACCAGATGACGCCAAAAGGTGTACAACTCAAAGACAGCGCACTATCAGAGTTTTGAGAGCTCGGGGTAAGCATTTACACTATGAGACCTCCTTTACCAGTGGCAAAATATAGTAATAGGTTTTTTACCCTATTACTATTACTATATTTTGCCACTGGTAAAGGAGGTCTCATAGTTTCAATGCTTACCCCGAGCTCTCAATACTCTGATAGTGCGCTGTCTTTGAGTTGTTCAACTGTTGAAAGGGTAAAAAACCTATTACTATATTTTGCCACTGGTTAAGGAGGTCTCATAGTGTAAATGCTTACCCCGAGCTCGCAATACTCTGATAGTGCGCTGTCTTTGAGTTGTTCAACTGTTGAAAGGGTAAAAAACTATTACTATATTTTGCCACTGGTAAAGGAGGTCTCATAGTGTAAATGCTTACCCCGAGCTCTCAATACTCTGATAGTGCGCTGTCTTTGAGTTGTTCAACTGTTGAAAGGGTAAAAAACTATTACTATATTTTGCCACTGGTTAAGGAGGTCTCATAGTGTAAATGCTTACCCCGAGCTCGCAATACTCTGATAGTGCGCTGTCTTTGAGTTGTTCAACTGTTGAAAGGGTAAAAAACTATTACTATATTTTGCCACTGGTAAAGGAGGTCTCATAGTGTAACCCCCCCCATCCCCACGGTGTAGTCTCAACAGACTGTTGGGGCAAGGGCTGTTCGCGAGCAGCAGCAGCATCAGCACTTGTGAAGGTCGCCAATGGCACACGAGGGGTGGTTGTGGTGGCCAGCAACCACGCCCGGCCATACACACACTCGGGGTGGGGGGTCTCTCGGGGTACGTTGTGTTCATAAATAACTCGCGAAAACACAAGAAGCTGGGGCCACATCGGCCCACGTTTCTCGTTCGTTCAGCCAAGTGGGGCAAGGGTCACTCAACCCGGCACCCCATCACCCATCCGCCCACCCACCCGCCCGCTCACTCACGGCCACGGCGCGGGTTCAATGCCGAGGTCCATGCACGGACGGCAACCTGGAAATCGTGGTGGGGCGTCAGATTCCTTGGTTTGTGGCAACCACCCCCAACCCCCACCACCACCCCTTAGGTTGACTCGGTCTTGAGCGTGAGCGCGTCTCTAAGGTGCCGTGGCTGTGACGGCGGTTCAGGCTGTTTACTTGTTGACAAGGTGCCATTGATGAATGGAAATAAAAAAAATTGCTGACGGCAGCACAACTAACTTGCACGTGGCGGGGCAATTGAACTAGAACCTTCTTCGCAAGCTGGTGACAAGCCCAGCCTTTGTGGTTGTTTTTCATCACCCAAAGTATGGGCATTGCACGGAAATAGTGGAATGTTCGTCGCGGATGATGAGTGTTCGTTTTAATATTTACAGATTTTTTTTTTGCTGCCTCAATATGGAGGGTGGGGAGGCGCAGTGGAGTGATTCACGCACTAGGCCATGAACCCGGGGCCACATGAGTTTGACTTCCGGCCACCGCTAACAGCAGTGGCGAGGCAGGGATGCCACCTCTGAAGTACAAAAAATATATCGGAAGATCTCATAATGTATTATTGTGATCATTGTTTTTTTACCCTTCCATCAGGCAACAAAACTGACACCTTTTTTTACAAGGAGTCATGTTTGCATAG